GGCCACGAGGTCCTCTCCTAGACGAGACACCCAGTCACTCTCCTGCCCGCCCCGGTGTCCCACGCCCCCCGCCATCGCTCGTAACAGCATGCGCTTGGGGAGCCGGCTCTCCTCCATGCGCATAACAAAGCCCGCGATTGGTATTATAGTTGGAATTGTTCCGAGTTGCGGAAAGTCTATGCGTCCTTACGTCGGTGAATTTCTTGCGACTGTTGCTTGATGCTTTGTGGCGCACGAGGCGCCCACTCTCTCCTGTTCCTTGCCTACGAGGGTGTTCGTGCGTGGAGGTAGATTAGTCGGATTGTACCAAATCACTGGCGGTTTCGTGTACCGCAGATGGGATTGCCTGGAGGGGCGGCTAGGAGAGACCTTGAGATACGAGTTGCGGGCCCCCTTTTCGACTGGCTTTGGGTCTGGCACTCTTCCTCCCTCCTTCTCCCTCATGTCCCCCTACGATAATACATGCCGTTAACAACACTCTTTGGACTCTGGAGGTCACACAACAAGGGCATACCAACATTCTAGAAATGCATCCTCCGGAGGAGCCCGATGATCTTCAGAGTTCAGCTGTGGTGAGAAGCAGCAGCAGGAGCGTTGTGCGTGATCCCTTGGTAAGGACATTACTGAGTGACACGACGCGCAAGTTTTGACTAGGGTTTCAAGTTGAGGCGAGAACCAGGGGTGTAGGAGATGATGGGCAGGCTGCCATCGCTTCTGCAGGCCAAGTCGGGTGGGCGAGGCCAGGATTAGTCGGGCCGTGCTGCGAGAGGCACGGCAGGTGCGGCGGGATTTGTGTGTTCCACCGAGCAGCCACCAAGAGCTGCGTGGTCGTCAGGGAGGGCGACACTGCGGGAGGAGAGAGCAGCAGTAGGCCGGACGTGGATGGCGCCCTGGTGCGGGCTGTTGAGGTCCCTGCTGAAGGTGTGTTTGGTGCATTCCAGTACACCAACTCTCTCCGTCTGTTGTAGAAGTTGTGGCAGAGCTGTTGCACAGCAGAGTTGCTACCGCTGGGGGCACTAGCGAAAGTGTCACAGCGACCGACTTATCCACTCAGGAGGGGTCGGACGAAGTTAGGCGGCGCCAAGAGGATGCTGTCGACGGTGGGGATGCTGTGTAGTGCATGTCCACCAGGAGTCCCAACGGGGGCTCCATAGAGCGGGAGCACGGAGGCTGCCGCTCGCCCGCAGGTGCGGGTCGTGGGAGCAGAGGAGAGTATCCGCTACTCCCGAGCCGGTTGCTATATCGGTTTGTCCCCATTAAAAGGGCGTGTAGGAGGGGGCACGCGGAGGCGGTGGAGTTCTGCCGCCTGCACCCCAGCAGCATGGAAGGAACACAAGACCGGGAGATGGCCTGGAGGTATACAACACCAATGTCTGCTGGGGCGGGTCTGGAGACAAGGCCGGAGCGGGAATGCCCGCGGGTTGTACCCGCAAGGTATGTGGCCCGCGAACACGGGTGGAGAACACTCGTGTACACTTGAGAGTAGTGTGTGCTCTCTTGTGTTTATCCCCATTAAGGAGCGTGTAGGAGGGGGCACGCGAACCCAACCCGTCGTGTGTGCGGGGAAGGGTACCAGAAAAATCTTGCTGGCCCCGATGGGTATGCGGGGAGAGAAGTGCTTCCTGGCCCCGATGGATAGGCGGGGTATCACGGGAGTTGTGTGAGAAGTGCTGGAGTATTTGGCCACACCCAGCAGCACGGCAGTGGCCGTGGCTGCCTTCTACCAAGAGCGGGAAGGGGGCAGCGAACATCAAGGCGCGTGGGGTACCGCGTGCACTCTACATCATCAGCTGGCGGGGCCCGGAAATACGTAGCTGTGGGATGGTGGAGTTCAAAGACACGAGAAAGCCGTCGTGTGCCTGTCTGCTACACCGCTACACCGAGGAACGTCGGGACGCCGAGGGACGTCGGGTGTGGGCGGGTGGGGAGGGAAGCAAAACGGACCAGCCGCGCGGTGGATTTCCGCGGGCACTATCTTCATTTTGGTTGGTACCGGAATGTGTTTTATTTTGTTTTTTTTTTTGATTCTTTTGTATGTGGCGTTTAGCAGTAAAGGGCGATAACTTGTATTGCACGTGAATAGTCGCAAGTGAGGCGCTGTTGCGGACTTGCATAGATCGCTGTTAATTGCTTGTTGAAATCCATGGGTGTTTCCGCCGCCACATGCTCGAGTTTCACGCGTCACCGCTTGTTTTGTGTTCCCTGTGTGGCCTGTGTGGTTGCAGAATAAGGGAGGGTGGCGCCGTGCGTGGGTTTTTTGTTTTGGAGAGTGTAATGCTCGGAGAGTTTTGCGCCCGGTCTGCAGATATTCTGCAACGTGACAGAGTTATGGTCGTCCTCTCATGATTGAGGTGGAACTATTTCGATCTTGCAGTTATTGGATGACGGAGGGCGTTGCCTCTTGGGTGTTGTTGGACTCTATTTACGGGAGGAGTTTGGTCGTGTTTCCACGATGTTGCATGTACCATGTGTCTGATTTGTTGATTGAATGCTGGACGATCGCCACGTGTATGTGCTTCTAGGCAACCAAGTGACTGAGTAGTCTGGTGAATAAGACCATGTAACGAGTAAGGATACGCCGGGAGTTCGAATCTCACCAGGCGTCGCCTTTGTTCAAGGAATGAAGAAAGGAAAGCGCCTTTCCGAGAAGGGGAAAGCGACGCGCGTTGTTTGGCACACTAGAGAGGGCGTATGAAGTCGTCCCCAACTACTAGGCATGTGTTGCGTAAGGAAGGGCATACGGCGTGTAGACTATCAGTGTTATTCGAGGAGCGGACAATGGATATCAGGTGCATTGAAGGTGGCTATTTTGGCGAAGTTTGTCGTACGACATCACCAGAAGGGTAGGGGCGTGCTTGATGATTTGTTTTTGTGCTGCGCAGGGAGGACCTTGTCGAGTCAGCCGAGCGTGGCGTAGAGAGCGAGCCGGGGGCGGTGGTAGATATTGTCTTGCCTTGATGTTGCAGTACGGCCGTTGGAATCTTTCGTGATATGAACGGCGTGAAGGCGTTGAGATTTGTAAGGGGTTTTGATCCGATGGCGGGTTTCCCCTTGTTTCTGATTTGCGTTGTTTTAGGTGCTTTTCGGATGTACTCTTCGACGCACGAGTGGTGGTTATTCACTGGCGTAAAGAACCAAGGGAGGGTGTTCGTGCGTGGAGGTAGATTAGTCGGATTGTACCAAATCACTGGCGGTTTCGTGTACCGCAGATGGGATTGCCTTGAGGGGCGGCTAGGAGAGACCTTGAGATTCGAGTTGCGGGCCCCCTTTCCGACTGACTTTGGGCCTGGCACTCTTCCTCCCTCCTTCTCCCTCATGTCCCCCTACGATAATACATGCCGTTAACAACACTCTTTGGACTCTGGAGGTCACACAACAAGGGCATACCAACAGAGGGCAACCTAATTTACGACTTCACCATCTCTTCATTCCTGTCAACCGGGTCAGCCGTGCTTATCCAGCAGCACTAGGCTTGAAACCAATCAACACTCTAGAGCGAAGGTTGACCTCATACTATCTTAGTGAAGTGGACACATGCCGTCTGCGTCTGGAGAGTTCGGCAATGGCGATGCAGCCCCGACCCACGAGGAGGTCAATACAGCCATCGACCAGGCCACCGCAAAAATGGAGAGCATGATGACGGAAAAGTTAGGAACCGTCATGGAAGCCCTGTCTCGGTTAGTGCCCGAGACAGGGTTCGCCGCAAGTATGGCCGCAGCGGGCCGCAGGGGAGAGTCACGGGGGGAAGACACGCCCCCCCCGGCGCTGGTCATGTGAAGCCGTCTGCGGGGGACGTCTCGCGCGAAAGCGAAACCAGTGACCCGCCGGCAAGGTACGACCCGACCATGAAGGCCCGGATCCCGCGCGTCAAGCAGCTACTCCACCACACTCTAAATGAATCTCCTCCGACGCTTTTAGCAACGAACTCTACTCCTCCTTTGGCCTTGGCCTCATGCAGATTTTTCTTCGTGGTGTGCTGTTGGAACTGGTGTCGGTTCGTCCCTCTGCTTCATCCTACAGGAAATTTTGAGAGCTGGACCAAAATAATCCTGTCCCCAAACAAAAAGTTCCGGTGCCCATTTTCCTGTTAGAAATGCGGCGTAATCACCTTAACCGGAAAAACGCACCGCTACCGGACAAACGGCCGCCTACCGGAAGTTCCTACCCTATAGGGGAACCCCCCTATTACATGTATCTTGACCAAGCTTCCGTTCCTAGCCTGGGTGGAAGCACCAGTTCGTGTGTACACAAAGGGAAGAGAGTGCTGCACCCCTCTTCTTCTCGAATAAAAAATCGAAGTCAAGGTACCGCAGGAGGGGTGGGTAGGGGGCCTGAGGGAGAGGAAACCCTTCTGTGTGAAAACGGGCTGGAATAAACGGCACAAAGTGCCGTTAGCGCTGATGATCTTCAAACAACATGACGACCAAAAAGAAAAAACTTTCGTTACGAGCCTGCCCTTCTTTGTTGCAAAGTTACGTACTGCTGTAGGTCCATCTACACACATCAGTATGCCCAGTTCGTCTTTGCTGCTTATCCTCTCAACTCATCGCCCACATGTAGTTCAGAATGTCCAGCGTGTAGACCTCCAGCGCATCCGTCACGCATGATCTCATGTTGTACATAACCTATCTAAGAGTATCCGGAGGGTCTCTTTTCAGTAAGGGCGCACGACGATTTCTCTTTTTTTATTTGACATTTTCGAGGGCGCACGAAGTTGACTTTTTTTGCGGAGATTGTCGAGGGCAGGGGGGGGGTACACGTACATAGAGTAGCCACGAGAGCACCCCATGCAGTAAGAGGTGGAGAGATTGCACCCCTCCTAGACTGACCTTCAAAGATCGATTGCTCCACAAGCGAGTCGGGGTGTAAAGAGCTGGATACTTTCACGGATAGCCCTCGACATGATGCATGTTTCCACAACAACCATTGTTGGTTTTGGTACAAGCATGCATGGTTGGTTGTGGAGCCATCGAGCAGTGAAACTCGGTCTACGGCGGGTACCTCTCCTCCTCCTACGGTAACGCGCTCAAAGTATGGGTGAAGCGTCGTCACCACGTAGACAGATAGCAGCACAAGATCCCCCACGTGAGGCTTGCGTTAAGTGGGCTCTAACCTCCAAGAGAAGGAAAAAGTCGAACAACATTTACATTATTGGCCCTCCCAGGAAGGGGAACGTACTTTTGGTTTGCACGCCGTAGTAGCTATTAGACCATTGGCAACGCAGCTCGCCTCGGGCAACTGTGCTGGTCCTCCAAGAGATCCTCGGCATGTTTTTGAAGGTGGTGTAGGGAGCACAAACGAGATGAAGATTAACATTCGCACACAACCAATCAATCCCTGGTTCGAAAAGTACGCGGGTCCTCAATCTGACGTTGTAGAAATATAATGTTCAGAGTACAGACGAGAATAGATTCGCACATGCATACAACCACAATCAATCGGCGCTGCGTACACAAGCACGCACGCCTTACGTTATTATTGCATTCTACAGCGTTCGATGTCAAACGCATCTGTGCGGGTGCACCGAGCTTTGAGGAATTGACCACGCGTCCTCGAGGACGGAGCTGATGGCCAACCGGTCCTTCCTACTCTGCCAAAATGTGGCCTACAACTGCTCCCCCTATCCTACCTTTATCACATCTCGCCTGTTCAGGTCACTTCCCCTGCCTTATTACACCTACCGTCTCTTCCCGGCTTTGCCGTATCTCAATCTTCTCTCTGTAACTTCCATTTTCCCCATCTCAGTCATGGACAATGTTCGCTCCTTTTCGGTAAATGGACCTTCTGCAGCTGCATGAAACTGGTCGGAGCCGCTTTCACAATTGAACTTGCCGTGTACGTCTTCCTCTCTAGATTTGGGGGGAACCTAGGCCTGCGGGATGACTTTCTACGTGCACCCTTGGTCTCAGGAGGAAAACCACGTCCAGTGTGCAGCCTGAGTTTCCCCCCAAGACGTACTGTTTTAGCAGCCGATATCGAACCATTCGACCAGTCAGGTGTTCAGCAGCCGGGCTAGTGAAACATCATCGTTTGACCTCGGCTGCGAAAGCACTCGACAGTGAATCCGTAAAGCCCCCTGCACGATGTCGAGTGGACAGCGATAACACGGTTACGTCTTATTAGAATCATGTTACGTCGTAGCATGATATTCACAACCGTCTCGACATCTACAGAGGACGGACATTGTCCAGGCCCTCATGTTGTGCGACACCATAGGAATGCCTCTGCTGATTGAAAATGTCGACAGCCTGCTGATACAGGCGAAGGTCGAGCGACAAGTGTTTCTCGATTTCCGGATCCAAGAGTGCCTGTTGAAGCACGTCTTGTTTCTCTCCCTTGAACCGCGTTTCGACGTTTTGCTTCCCGGAACGCTCGAACTCCTCGTGCCAGGCCATCCCAGGTATGTCCAAAGCTGAGTCGAAGAGGGACAGCGTGGCGTTCCAGTCTTCTAGGATCCCGACGACCGCATAGTTATCCCGGAGCAAATCTACCACGGGCCTAACCATGTACTCCAGCCTGGTTTCTTCAGGACAAGTGTCGTCTGCCACCCCCGACCGATCGTTGAGAAACAGCTTCAGCATGTACCACCCCGGCATCAGTTCTACTTGCTCTTCCGTCAACCCCATAGCGCCCCCGCCATCGGGCGAAACAAGGAAATCAATTACGTCGTCATGAGAGACGAATCCCAAGGCGAACTGGCGGAGCGCGAAATTGCCCCAATGTCTTGCGAACGTCACCAGGTCGACGTTTCGACTGGACACGAATTCCGACGCGCACAGCTGGTCACTTGGGTCTTCCCTGAGGGAGGAGAGCGAGCACAAATGAGAGCAACGTTCATGGAAATAGATACCTGAGAAATGGGCAGGAGCACAGGGAGACACTAAGACTATCCTTTTCCGGGAACAGAAGCGCAAGCGTGTCTCTTCGACACAGACAGAACACACCCGAGAAAAAAAAAAACGTTCGGTCTCGAGGAGGACACGCCCTCTGTAAACTGCGAGTGAGCTTGTAGGTATTCTCACAGAAACGAGAAAGCAAGAATCGGGCCAGGATGGGTAGATCTGAGCACCATCATGTCCAAATCCGGTCCATAGGACACAACGCTAACCTTACCTGCAGTAGTAATACGCGCTAACCAAGCGGGACACGGGGTGCCGAAACACAGTGAACCAACGGCATGGTGTGCGTTCGTCGTCAGGTTGGAAGGCCGGCGTTCTGCGCAAGGCTTCGAGATAGCCGCCGGCGACCGCGCTCCACCCGGCAGGCGAGGCTAAGCTCGCGGCCACCGATTCCGCGTAGCCTTGCCCTATCTTCCACTGGTACGAGTCGTAGGTCGTGCTCTTCGAACCCCACGAGTTAAACAGGAGTCGTTTTACCGTCGTCCCTCCGGCTTTCTGTAGGTGGTTGAAGATCCAACAGCGGTTCTCGCTTCGGGGCGACTCTTCTATGATCGGGGCCGGCGCGTTTTGAGAGCTTTCTTCAGCAGCGTGTGGTCTAGGCGGAACAAGGCCGTGATGGCCGCCGTAGAACAGACAAGGGAGCAGAGCCCCGCAGAGAAGACACTTGGTCGCAAAGGATGACGGTCTTGCCGCTGCCGGCCTTCGCCCGTTTGTTACAATTTTTGGTGGTCGCCCTCTGATGGACCTGTAGAACAAGAAAACAGGTTGCACACGGTCGAGGTTGTTCCGGGGGTAGGTACAGCACGACGAGAAGAGAAGTGGGGTGAGTTGTGCGAAAGAGAAGACATGCGGTTATTGGATGGTGTTTTTGCCGACACTACAGTGGTACTGCTTTACGATGGGAAATAGTAACAAAACCGCGACTCGTCGTTCACCATAAATTTGCTTCGACGGCACTTGGCTACTTTCGTGATGTTGGCGGTGCATGTGTTTCTAACAGATGACATTGAACGCGCTAACCACCTGGACCAAGGAAAAGACGTTTATTCTTTTAGCGGCAAAAACGATAATACGTGTGCGTGAGTCGCCGTGTCGCCCCATCTATTTCGGACGTGAGTTTTTGCACTTTGCACCTTTCGGTATTTTTGCTGGCCGCATCAGCCGAGACCATACAGGAGGAACGCCACACAGCAGTGTTTTCCTTCATTATCAAGAGGGAAAAGTTTTACCGCGACAAGGACTCAGCCGTCCGTTTTCCTCATCGATTGTATCTCTTGAAGTAGCACCGACCGTGTTCGTGATAGTTGCTGCTGTGTGTGTCGACAGAGTGACGTAGAACAACTTGATCGGACAGTTTGCATTGCGGGACTGTCTGCGTTGAAGATCGTTGAGTAGCTACATATTTTCAGAACAGCGAGGAACGTTCTGTGGGAATGTTCTTCGTGGATGGTGCATTACCCCGAGTGTTTCTTGTGGATAGTGCATCAGTCAGAGGATTCATGGTACGTTGTGAAGTACGTTAGCCCCTGTCTGTTGGGTCTTTGTGTTCCGATATCATTGTGTTCTACTTTTTTGCGTTGGTCGAGCGACACGGGTGGTGGCTGCGGTGCTGCGGTGCTGTGGTGCTCCCCACCCTTGCTCACTTCACCTTTTTGACCTGTTCTCCTGGTCCAAGGTCTCAACAATAAAACATCTTTTCCCCAGAAGCCACGAGGTTACCAACACGCTATAGCGAGACCAGTCGACTGCTGCTTGTCCCCTCGGACTGTACGTCAAGACTGAACGGAGGAAGATTGATCACCTTGCTTTGTGATGTGTGGGCCGGCTGGGGATCATGTGGATGACCCACCTCCGGGTGATTCGCAGGATGTTATTGGTGGTGAGAGATTGGATTCGATTGAGACACAGCTGTCCCAGCTCACGAGCATAATCAAGTCGCTTGTTGGGCAACGAGGTGATCAGGTGGAGTCCTCTGTTCCAGTAGCTGCTGCACCCGGAAGCGNCCCAGCTCACGAGTATAATCAAGTCGCTTGTTGGGCAACGAGGTGATCAGGTGGAGTCCTCTGTTCCAGTAGCTGCTGCACCCGGAAGCGGCGGAACAGAGTACGCTGGTGCGCATCAATCGGATGTCACTGGCAGGACTGCGGGAGGTACGGGCAGCAGTGCTCAAGTCCTTGGCATGTCCAGCATGTGGGTTGGGAGTAGCAGTCTTGCAGCCTCAGGCTTGAACCTTCGTGCAATAGTTGAAGTATGTCGTTCCTCTGCTGGTAGTACTGCCAGCGGCGGAACCGACGCCGGTTAGCATCCTGTAGATGCTACTGGCAGGACTGCGGGAGGTACGGGCAGCAGTGCCCAAGACCTTGGCATGTCCGGCGTGAGAGTTGGGAGTAGTGAGTAGTCTTCTAGACTCAGGCTTGAGCCCTCATGCATCTGCTGTAAATCGTCCCTCTGCTGGTGATTGTGCGTGGAGGTAGATTAGTCAGATTGTACCAAATCACTGGCGGTTTCGTGTACCGCAGATGGGATTGCCTTGAGGGGCGGCTAGGAGAGACCTTGAGATACGAGTTGCGGGCCCCCTTTTCGACTGGCTTTGGGCCTGGCACTCTTCCTCCCTCCTTCTCCCTCATGTCCCCCTACGATAATACATGCCGTTAACAACACTCTTTGGACTCTGGAGGTCACACAACAAGGGCATACCAACATTCTAGAATGCATCCTCCGGAGGAGCCCGATGATCTTCAGAGTTCAGCTGTGGTGAGAAGCAGCAGCAGGAGCGTTGTGCGTGATCCCGTGGTAAGGACATTACTGAGTGACACGACGCGCAAGTTTTGACTAGGGTTTCGAGTTGAGGCGAGAACCAGGGGTGTAGGAGATGATGGGCAGGCTGCCATCGCTTCTGCAGGCCAAGTCGGGTGGGCGAGGCCAGGATTAGTCGGGCCGTGCTGCGAGAGGCGCAGCAGGTGCGGCGGGATTTGTGTGTTCCACCGAGCAGCCACCAAGAGCTGCGTGGTCGTCAGGGAGGGCGACACTGCGGGAGGAGAGAGCAGCAGTAGGCCGGACGTGGATGGCGCCCTGGTGCGGGCTGTTGAGGTCCCTGCTGAAGGTGTGTTTGGTGCATTCTCTGCCTTCTACCAAGAGCGGGAAGGGGGCAGCGAACATCAAGGCGCGTGGGGTACCGCGTGCACTCTACATCATCAGCTGGCGGTGCCCGGAAATACGTAGCTGTGGGATGGTGGAATTCAAAGACGCGAGAACGCCGTCGTGTGCCTGTCTGCTACACCGCTACACCGAGGAACGTCGGGACGCCGAGGGACATCGGGTGTGGGCGGGTGGGGAGGGAAGCAAAACGGACCAGCCGCGCGGTGGATTTCCGCGGGCACTATCTTCATTTTGGTTGGTACCGGAATGTGTTTTATTTTGTTTTTCTTTTCTGATTCTTTTGTATGTGGCGTTTAGCAGTAACGGGCGATAACTTGTATTGCACGTGAATAGTCGCAAGTGAGGCGCTGTTGCGGACTTGCATAGATCGCTGTTAATTGCTTGTTGCAATCTATGGGTGTTTCCGCCGCCACATGCTCGAGTTTCACGCGTCACCGCTTGTTTTGTGTTCCCTGTGTGGCCTGTGTGGTTGCAGAATAAGGGAGGGTGGCGCCGTGCGTGGTTTTTTTGTTTTGGAGAGTGTAATGCTCGGAGAGTTTTGCGCCCGGTCTGCAGATATTCTGCAATGTGACAGAGTTATGGTCGTCCACTCAGGTCGTCCACTCATGATTGAGGTGGAACTATTTCGGTCTTGCAGTTATTGGATGACGGAGGGCGTTGCCTCTTGGGTGTTGTTGGACTCTCTTTATGGGAGGAGTTTGATCATGTTTCCACGATGTTGCATGTACCATGTGTCTGATTTGTTGATTGAATGCTGGACGATCGCCACGTGTATGTGCTTCTAGGCAACCAAGTGACTGAGTAGTCTGGTGAATAAGACCATGTAACGAGTAAGGATACGCCGGGAGTTCGAATCTCACCAGGCGTCGCCTTTGTTCAAGGAATGAAGAAAGGAAAGCGCCTTTCCGAGAAGGGGAAAGCGACGCGCGTTGTTTGGCACACTAGAGAGGGCGTATGAAGTCGTCCCCAACTACTAGGCATGTGTTGCGTAAGGAAGGGCATACGGCGTGTAGACTATCAGTGTTATTCGAGGAGCGGACAATGATATCAGGTGCATTGTAGGTGGCTATTTTGGCGAAGTTTGTCGTACGACTTTACCAGAAGGGTAGGGGCGTGCTTGATGATTTGTTTTTGTGCTGCGCAGGGAGGACCTTGTCGAGTCAGCCGAGTGTGGCGTAGAGAGCGAGCCGGGGGCGGTGGTAGATATTGTCATGCCATCATGTTGCAGTACGGCCGTTGGAATCTGTCGTGATATGAACGGCGTGAAGGCATTGAGATTTGTTAGGGGTTTTGATCCGATGGCGGGTTTCCCCTTATTTCTGATTTGCGTTGTTTTAGGTGCTTTTCGGATGTACTCTTCGACGCACGAGTGGTGGTTATTCACTGGCGTTAAAAACCAAGGGAGGGTGTTCGTGCGTGGAGGTAGATTAGTCGGATTGTACCAAATCACTGGCGGTTTCGTGTACCGCAGATGGGATTGCCTTGAGGGGCGGCTAGGAGAGACCTTGAGATACGAGTTGCGGGCCCCCTTTCCGACTGACTTTGGGCCTGGCACTCTTCGTCCCTCCTTCTCCCTCATGTCCCCCTACGATAATACATGCCGTTAACAACACTCTTTGGACTCTGGAGGTCACACAACAAGGGCATACCAACAGCTGGTGCTGCAAGCTTTGGTTCGATTGGAACTGTTAGTAGGGCTTTAGGTAGCCAGTCTTTCGGTTCAGGAATGGTTGGTGGGACTTTAGGTAGTCAGTCCTCCATTCCGGGAATGCATAGTGGGGTTTAGGTAGCCAGTCTTCCATTCCACCCCCATCTACTCCATCGAGTGAGTGGTGGGGACGTTTCGCCAGAAGAAACACATATGTTCCTGGGGCCGGCATTTTCGACACAGGAGAAAACTTGGGTAGGAGTCCTTGCAAAGTTCCCAAAGCTTCTGTTTTTGACAAAACGTCCGTCGTGGTCACAATTGTTTCTTCTGACTGCCCACAACCACAATAATCTGTTTGAGGCTTTTGTGTCTGAGCTAGACTATATGTAGACATTCCGACCGCAGACTTTGAATTCGACTTGACACCCTCGGTACAGCAAGGCTTCAGTGTGGATGTGCTGCGCCAGGAAGAAAAGACAACGGTGAGAAGTCCGACATGGTGCTATTTTCTCAAACCAGATTGAACGACTCGCATGATCTGACGTGTCTGGTAGAGTATAACGAGGTTATGCTGCTGGAGTGCTTGTCAAGTGATGATGCTGTCCGCAAATACTCATTATTTTTGTGAGGAAGACAAATATGTCAAGAATGGTGTTACGGACACGGTTACTGCTTTCCACATGACAGACTCTAGCGTTAACGATGTGAAGGATTGCTATTAGAACGCATGAGGGATTGATGGCGTTACTTGTGAAGTAGACCGTCTGGAACCCTGGACTGGAGGAAGTGTTTGTGATTGCTGACAGCGAGTGTTCAGTAGGGTTGAAGGTTAGTGCAACCTCTANTCAAGAATGGTGTTACGGACACGGTTACTGCTTTCCACATGACAGACTCTAGCGTTAACGATGTGAAGGATTGCTATTAGAACGCATGAGGGATTGATGGCGTTACTTGTGAAGTAGACCGTCTGGAACCCTGGACTGGAGGAAGTGTTTGTGATTGCTGACAGCGAGTGTTCAGTAGGGTTGAAGGTTAGTGCAACCTCTATTCTCCCAGCGCAGTGTTTGATGGCAAGTTATGAAATAGCTTCGGTGGTCTTGATGGTATGATGGCTACTTTCGACAGAACAGTAATTTTCCAGAATTTCGATGGCATGCTCATTGCTATTGCGTATCGTCTAGAGAATAACTCTGTTGGTTCCGTGCTAGCTGCCCTCACTCCTTCAAACCCCAAGCATGAATCTAAGATGGATGTGAACGAGTTTCAATTTATGCTCATTCACGTGAGGGATTACTTAGTACAACAGCAAAACGACTAGGTATGGAGTTGACCGGTAAAATGCATGCTTGTACGGGATGTTCGATGTCGAAGGCATTCAAGAAAGGAATTGCTCATGAAGCAAGATACAGATTGGACACTAAGTTGGGCAGAGTTTTTGTTGACCTGGGAGGGCGGAAGGACGTTGCGTCCGTATGGGGTAAACATCNGATTGCTGACAGCGAGTGTTCAGTAGGGTTGAAGGTTAGTGCAACCTCTATTCTCCCAGCGCAGTGTTTGATGGCAAGTTATGAAATAGCTTCGGTGGTCTTGATGGTATGATGGCTACTTTCGACAGAACAGTAATTTTCCAGAATTTCGATGGCATGCTCATTGCTATTGCGTATCGTCTAGAGAATAACTCTGTTGGTTCCGTGCTAGCTGCCCTCACTCCTTCAAACCCCAAGCATGAATCTAAGATGGATGTGAACGAGTTTCAATTTATGCTCATTCACGTGAGGGATTACTTAGTACAACAGCAAAACGACTAGGTATGGAGTTGACCGGTAAAATGCATGCTTGTACGGGATGTTCGATGTCGAAGGCATTCAAGAAAGGAATTGCTCATGAAGCAAGATACAGATTGGACACTAAGTTGGGCAGAGTTTTTGTTGACCTGGGAGGGCGGAAGGACGTTGCGTCCGTATGGGGTAAACATCACCCCATGATAGTGAAGGATGATTTCACAAGACGTACATGGATGTATTTCTTGAAAAATTTAATCAGACGCTGCGAGTGCTTTCCGGAGTTTCCTCGCAAGTGTGCGTGCTGATGGTATCCCATCATTGGTTGAGATTGTTAGATCTGACAATGGGGGGGGAGTTTTTCGGAGGAGAATTCGCGTCCGTTNACCCCATGATAGTGAAGGATGATTTCACAAGACGTACATGGATGTATTTCTTGAAAAATTTAATCAGACGCTGCGAGTGCTTTCCGGAGTTTCCTCGCAAGTGTGCGTGCTGATGGTATCCCATCATTGGTTGAGATTGTTAGATCTGACAATGGGGGGGGAGTTTTTCGGAGGAGAATTCGCGTCCGTTTGCAACGAGCTCTTGATTAAGCAAGAGTTCACCCCGGCTTACAGTCCCCAATACAACGGTGTTGCAGAGCGTGGTTTGGGACTGATTGAGGCGGCGGCAATGGCTGCCCGTTTTCAGGCAAAAGTTTTGTTTGGGCATGTGCAATTACCTGAGACTGATAGACTATGGGCTGAGGCCATGCACTGGGCTTGCGAAGCAATTCACCACACAGCTTGTACGGAGATGTGGTGAAGCTAGTCATGCTAGACCGTGTCCGTTTTTGAAACCGGCTGTAGGTGGCAGCGACCGTCTTAGCTGCTGCCGAAGGGTGAGGCTTGCTTTTATGTCGGTCCTTCAAGAGACCACCCGCGTGACTGTCATAGAGTACTTACGAGGGTTGGCACTATTCAGTAGAGTCGGAGAGTCAGGAAGGGTTGGATGAAGAGTTGGTTGAGTCGGGAGGGCAGGAGGTAGAATCGGAGTCATTTTCCCCTCTACGCACGTTCCATCCAATCGTCGTGCGCGGCGTGAGCTTGCTAGTTACAACACTGCTGCGAATGAGAATGTTGAAGTCAGAGAAGGCAGAACCCGTGCGCAAACTCGGGCCGTAAACCAGCAGAGCGTATCCGGTCTCATGGCCAATCTAGGACCTATTTCCGCATCTGAAATTGTAGAAGCACTCTTAGTGGAGCAGAGAGCGTCTGATACTTCGGAAATGCCGAGAGAGCTCATTCAGGATGTAGACAGAGCCTGGTAGCTAGCGAGAAGCCGGCCAGTCAAAGCATACCGTGATTTGGGACAAAGCCATGTCTGCAGAGTTTGAAGGCTTGTTAAGAGCAGGAATGTTCGCGTTAGCAGTAAAGGCCCCGATAGGCTGTAACGTGACAAATGCTAGATGGGTCTATAAATGGAGAGCAGACAAAACAGGCAAGATAGTGAAGGCCAAGGCTAGGCTTGTAGCGAAGGGCTTCAAGCAGAAGTATGGTGTGGATTATCTTGAGACTTTCTCGCCTACTGCAAATGCTGCATCGTTGGTAGCATTGGCATGCAAGTATGATTTGGAATTTCTTCACTTTGACATTGAGCAAGCGTTTGTTCAGTCGGAATTGGATCATGAGGTGTTCATGAAGATGCCTCCTGGCTGCGAGTCGATGTCAGGAAAGGTCCGTTTAGACAAGAGTTTGGAGGGACTGAGGCAGGCATGTAGAACATTTCTCAAGAGATTTGTGTCGGACCTGAAGTGGATTAGTGTCGAACAATCTCTATCTGACCCCTGTGTTCTGCGTTTCATGATGAGAAACGAGGTGATGGGTATGATCGCGATTCATGTGGATGACTTGCTGTATGGAGGAATTGAGAGTCTTGCCAAGATAGTTGTGCAAGCGCTAGGTGACTCTTTTCACACGAAGAATTTTGGCGAGGTCAAGTTCTTTCATGGTTGCGCATTTAGTCGCGACCGCGAGGCTGGCAAGATTGAGATGTCTCAAGAGCGTTGCGTCAGGAGTCTCGAGAGATTCAATATTTGTCGCACCAGCTCGACCCTGCTCCCCCTGCTAGTGTTTACAGGTCTGTGATGGAGGAGGGGGCAGGAGATGTGCCGTTCCGAGAGGTGGTGGGGAGCCTGATGTGGATCGCCAACCAGACGAGGCCCGACATCTCAAATGCTGTGCGGGCGGTGGCGAGGCACTCTCACGAGCCAAAGAAAAGCCACTGGAAGGCGGCCCAGAAGATTCTGAATTATCTTCTGGAGACGGCACAGTAAATTTTCAAGTACAAGCAAGACACGATGGTAGACGTAGGCACGTTGGTGTATGTAGACGCAGACTTCGCCAGTAAGGTCACTGACCGTAGATCAGTTTCGGGAGCACTAGTTTTTGTAGCTGAGTGTCTTGTTGCTTGGATTTCTAGGACGCAGAAATGTGCCACACTTTCAACAACTGAAGCAGAGTATGCTGCGATGGGTGACGGTGCAAAAGAGGCTTTGTTTGTCAACGGAAGGCTCGAGTTCTCGAGGCCTACTGATAGAATCGATAAGATTCAGGTTCGAGAGGACAACGAGGGTGTGATTGCACTTGCTGAGAATCCACTCAGTTCGTGAAACACTAAGCACATTGACGTGAGGCATCACTTTCTCAGGAATTTGACAGAGGAGGGAGTGTTGGAAATCAGGCATGTCTCTAGCGAACGACAGCATGCGGACATTCTGACGAAGGTTTTGCCGAGAGATCTTTTTGAAGTTCATCGTAATTTTGCTCTAGGTTTGATTTCTGAGAAGTAGTCTAGAGACCTGAGTTGTGTTTTTTTTTGGTTGTTGCTATTCTGATATATATTTGATCTGGTGACAACAGCCCCAAGGGAGGGTGTTCGTGATAGTTGCTGCTGGGTGTGTCGACAGAGTGACGTAGAACAACTTGATCGGACAGTTTGCATTGCGGGACTGTCTGCGTTGAAGATCACTGAGTAGCCACATATTTTCAGAACAGCAAGGAACGCTCTGTGGGAATGTTCTTCGTGGATGGTGCATTACCCCGAGTGTGTTTCTTGTGGATGGTGCATCAGTCAGAGGATTCATGGTACGTTGTGAAGTACGTTAGCCCCTGTCTGTTGGGTCTTTGTGTTCCGATATCATTGTGTTCTGCTTGTTTGCGTTGGTCGAGCGACACGGGTGGTGGCTGCGGTGCTGCGGTGCTGTGGTGCTCCCCACCCTTGCTCACTTCACCTTGTTGACCTGTTCTCCTGGTCCAAGGTCTCAACAATAAAACATCTTTTCCCCAGAAGCCACGAGTTTACCAACAGACCGCGCCAACCGGCTGACCAATGAAAAAACGTCTCTCAATAATTGTCATCAACCATCGGCGGAAAAGATTGAGTACAGGGTGGCATCCGCGTGCGTGCTAAGATGCTGGGCGCATGTTGTCAAACTTGAACCCTGTGCAAGTGGTGGCGCGTTCTGTATTACAGGACAGAGCCGGAAGGCGTAGACTACTGTGAGTACCGTGTAGGTGCTCAAAGTGCTCAAATGGCAGCTAGACTACATCCTCAGCAATCAGTAAATCCTTTGCCTTATAGACTACTGGTACAGCGTAACTTACGCAGCAGCGGTTCCCGCGACCCGAGCTGGGCGACCCTTTGATTGGCCTTCTCACTGTTCACGCCCTACATCTCCCATATACACCAGCAGCGGGGGGAAATGAGTACAGCCGTTCCAAGAACCAACCATAATATATGGCACAAGAATTGGCACTGCAGGATGCGGCACACCCGCAGTCCCGGCGTTCGAAGAATGTAGGAGAACAAGCAATATATATTTTTTCTCCTTTTGAGTCAGGATGCACAGGTATTTCCATTGCTTCCCTTCTATTTGTGTCGCGAGAGAAGGGTTCAGCGGTCCCTCTTCTCAGCGCGCTTTCCACAAATTAGTTGCGAGCAATACTCCAGAGAGAGGTGGTCGTCAATACCGCAACCTATGCACACATGAATGAATAGCACCAGCGGGGGTTGACCCAACTGAACCAACCGCTGATACTTGTGGGAACCGGCCAGCCTGGAACCGGCACCGGCTTCTTTCGGGTACGTTGTGGTTGCAAGGTGTGTGGTGCTTTCTCAAACCACGCGGAAACGACTATGATCAAACCATACCTTTACCGCTTCTGCCTGCACCCACCGTGAGTACTCTGAGCCAATGAAGGTCCTCCCCATCTCCTCATGCCTCCTTTAGTGTTGTCACCATGCACGCGGCGAAAGAGGCCCCTCGGCACGCTCCTCCCAAGCAGGAGCAACGAGGGGTGTAAGGACCTTGCACGAATGTTCTTGAGAACGTGTGGGCTGAGGTTTAACCACTTCAGCCTTCGGCTGTACCCAGGAGGGTAAGCTTAGAGGTGGGAGGCAAGCACCACGGCCTCGGGCGTTGTTAGGTATCGTTTGAAGGACGTCTTGATCTACTGACGTCAAAAAGGCGTCGAGCTGGTCGAAACACCCGTCTTCCTGTCTTGCCCGTCTGTCTGGTTTTCCATCGAAAGCAAAAAATGTGTTCGTCCCGCTGAGGGCGAAGTGTCCGGTACAGAACCGTATATGACACAAGATAACACATCCCCTTGACCGATTTTCGAAGCTCGATTTCTCAACTGCAGGAACAGTCACAGCGTCGAAAACGGCGGCGTTGAAACCGTCTGGTCGAGAGCTTTTCGAAAATGTATCGTTTCGTTTATGCATCTTCTTCGTCGTGGAGTAATTGAGCTTTGAAAATCGCTTCAGGGGGTGTGATATCTTGTGTCATATATGGTATAAAGTTCACCTTTGGACTATACTCGAGTATTTCGGAGAACACGGGCTACAGGAGGACTTTTCCGGAACGTTTTTTTTTGCTGCGCAGAACCTGTTTCGACGGGAAACCGCAAAAACACAAGTTTTGCAAAGACAGACCACACACACACACACTCCCCGGCCGCGAAGATACAGCCAGCAGGGCTCGCTCGCAAGAATCACCGGTTGGAGACCTTCCCGGCGGACCTACCAACATGTTGGATTCGGAAAGCGCTGCCAACGCACCAAAGCGCAAGAATTTGACACTCCAGAGCAAAAAAAAAAAAAGCATGATCGCCGAGCTGCTCAAGGGGAGCAACAATGGGGTTCTGGGCCATGGTGCCTTCAAGAGGGTGGCCGCCATGCACCAGCAGCACCCACGCACGATAAGCCTGCCACGATATTTTTCTGTTGTGCAGCAAGCACGGTCCACTTTTGATTGATGTGGATGCCGAAGTGCTTCGGTCAACAAAAAATAAGCGTAATTTTCTAAACATTTCAAATGTGCACTACCAGGTACATACAGGCTATTCCGGAATTTAGCTGATTTCCCGGGGATGATGAACCAGCATCCCCGCTCAGCCCGCGAGTCTTCCCTCAGCACTGAGGGGAAGCGGCACACAGTAGAGCTCTTTTGATCACCAACATAGCCCTCTGTACCTCAATACCCCAAAAGTGAACTATATTCAAGTTTTTCCAAAGTTAAAGGTGGAATATAGACACAAACAAAAAACAAACAAAATATATATTTATATATATTTCGGACCAGAGTGGATTTTTTTTTTTTTCTCCCATCAGTGGACTCTGTCGTCTGCCCCTCTGGCCCCCATCCTCCACTTCTACTAGCTAGACGACCCAACCGGGGTCACATAGGAGGGGGGGGGTGGGCCCCCTCCTGCGGTTCATGCCTGAGATATTTTTATCGCGAGAAGGGTACAGCAATCCCTTTCCTCGCGACGTATGAAGTCGATCAAGATTACTACTATTTGTAACGAGCTTGAGTCTACAGCGCGTCGCCTCTAACGGAGACCAGGATTTAAATTGTGAGAAAAAACTCACTCTGCCGGGACTCGAATCCCTGAACTGGCCCTTAGCAGGCTGCGGGGTTACCCACTAGAGAGACCACCGGGGCGACCGGTGTAGTGTTTTTTTTTTTTTTCCCATCATTAGACTCTGTCGTCTGCCCCTCTGGCCATTATCCTCCACTTCTACTAGCTAGACGACCCAATCGGGGTCATACAGGAGGGGGGGTTGGGCCCCCTCTTGCGGTTCCTGCCTGATATACTTTTATCGCGAGAAGAGTACAGCAGTCCCTTTCCTCGTGACTTACGAAGTCGATTATGGTTTACTAACAACGAACTTTGCAGCGCGTCGCTTTCATCCTTGTAGACCAGGATTTATTTAGTGGGAAATAACACACTCTGCCGGGACTCGAACCCATAACCTGACCCTTGGCAGGCCGCGAGGGTACCCACTAGACCACCGGGGCGACCGGAATATGATGTGTGGATGCAGGAATTTTTGAAAATTTTGTTTGTTTGGTGCGACACGTACTGCGCCACCTTCATGTATAGTATGTCCTGATTCTCGCAAAGTGGCTGTGAGTTGGGGGGGGGTGTACTCATAGTCGTGCATGCCGTAGTCGTTAGACCATTGACCTCGCATCCCTACAAAGCCGGGACGGANTGCTTGACCATTTTAACACAACGTGGTGCGATCATCCCCCTTGCGCGGAGTGAGGGTTCTCCACCCCGCACAACATGATCTACTCGACCACCATTATGGTTACCGCCAAAAAAAAAAACGGAGGTAAAAAAAAAAAAAACGGTAACCTGGTTGCCGAGTTCACGAAGTGAATTGGCTTGTTTTACAACGTCGTTGCCAAGCGACGAAACCCAATCCCGACGGGGAGGGATAAAATTACGCTGGGGGATGTTTCAAGCGTCTTCAGTTCTCCGCAAATGGTGAACCACGACCACGTAAGTAGGTAGGATGTTGTTACTTGTTGATGAACAACTAACATGCACGGCGCTGCCAACAATACTAGACTAGGCAGTAGAAGGTAACGCGTCATGGTTCATATTTTGACACATGCGAGACGCCCCATGGTACCCCACGGGGGACCTAATGGGCCCTTGTCACATGTCACGTCCTAGTCTAGAAACCTCCATGGAGCCCCACAACGGTCCATGGGGTGGCCCATGGGACGTCTCATGTCATGGGGACGTTCCATGGCATGCCCCATGAGACGTCCCCTGGGTCACCATGGTACACTATCACACCCTGTAGCACACCAACCTTGACGCAGCATGAGACTCCATGACACCTCAAGGAACCCAATGGCACCCCATGGCAAACCATGAGACTCCATGACACCTCATGCAAAACATGCACCCCATGACGCCATAGCACACCATGGTACACCATGGCACCTCGTGTAAAACTCATATTCCACAACAAGTGGAGTTAGTGCCCGGTTCCATTTGATTGCCTTCCCAAGGCACTGCGTGCGATAACATGGTACGGTAGAAGTCCAGGTTCGTTCTCAACGCAGATGCAACTAGGTGCTAGTGTTCCCACTGACAATGGAAAAAAAACAAACACTCACGACAAAATGGAGTTTTCGTTTTTCCTTTCGCTCGCTCCCGGTGGTGGTGGTGGCTGCAAAAGATGAGGCAGCGTCAGGTGACAATCGCTGGTTGCGGCATTCGACGACAGCAGCTAATCTAGCCGACTCGGCAATGCTGTGCTTGTGCCGCACTGTAGCAGTCAAGTAAAAGAGGTCGCACGAAATAATAAAGGCACGGCTACGTTTCTTTTCAGGGTGATGATGGTTGCGGGACAGGCCCCATGGTTTTCGTTTCAAGTCAAACCACAGATATCTCAACGGAATTGACCCGTCGCCCCCTTACGGCGGGACTCCGGAGTTCCGGTTCTACAAAAACTCTGGGGAGTTGTCTGTGGAAGGACTTTTTTTCGTTCAATGCATACCACAATCCTTCCACCCGTGTGACCGCGTCTGGTACGTCCAGAATCAACGCGACAAAACTCACACATGTTGAGCAAGGCCCCAACACGAACTAAAGGACGTCGTCTCCTGGACCTTCGACCTGGAAACTGATTTTCGCGAAAAACCCGGCGGTTTCAACCTTCACGGAGCTGAATGTAGCAACCCCAAACGAACACCCATCGCGCACACACGACTATCAGCGTTCCCTCAACGGCCCGACCACAATACTTCGGCGGCGCCACAACGCACACGCCCGGACAACAAACACATCACGGCTTCAATCCCAGCCGAGACATGGCCTCTCGAAGGTCCTTCTTGAGATCTGGCTTGTCCTTGCGCTCGCAGGCACTCACGAGCGACCTGAAGCTGACACCGTTGGGAACGATGCCGGCGCGGCCCATCTCGGCCAGGAGAGACATCCCTCCATCGATATCGTCCGCCAGGGCACAGGCTTCTATTGCACCGTTGAAGCATTGCACTGCAGTGTTGTCGCGTGGCATTCCGAGCGGAAAGGAGGTGGAGGGGTAGAATGAGGGCCGGGGGAGCGGGGTTTAGGGATGCAGGGTAAGCCGAGAAGCACGACGCACAAACACGACACAACACATGCTGCGAGTGTGGCATCTGACAGTGTACGACCTTGGTACATCAGGCGCAGCAGTTGCACGTTCAATAAAGCAACATATGTTGAACCGATGGCCTAATCTGCGAAACCGTCCAGTCTGTGCTGACCGATATGTGATTTGGGTTAATTGGGTCGTCTAGCGCGTGAGTCTATCCAAACGAAACGCATGTGCGTATGTACGTTCTTCTCGAAAGGTGGTAGCTAGCGCAATCTGAAATCTTCCAGAAGCAATAGTCTAGACTGGTTGCAGCAACAGGTCTTGCGAAGAGGTCTCGCAACATGACGACGAGCACCCGCGCTGCTGGAGAACACATGCCAAGCGTGCCCGAAGACATCATCATCGCACCCGACGCTTGTGCGCGCCTCTGCTTTCCAACGGCTCATTGCGGAAGGCACAAACAAGCTCATGGAAGAGGCCGCTCGCGGACCCGTTCCTACTCAAGCCCGCCGTTTTTTTCACTCACGATTTGGCGGTGACCCATTCTCCCTGATGTTATCCATGAGGGCAAGCGCTTTATCCGGTCTGCCCCCCCTCCCGAACGCCACCAAAGCGTGTGATCGGCCGACGTCGTCCAGCTCCACTCCCTGACTCCTCATCATCTCCAGCAAGATCTCCGCGATCTCCGCCTCCCCACGTCCGCACGCCGCGAGGGCGGCGGCGTAGATCTTCTTCGTCGCCGGAATCCCGTCGATTTTCATCGACTCAATCAGCCTCAGGGCCATGCGCCAATCGTGAAACCTCCCGCAGGCCGCCGAGAGGGTGGTGTACGAATACAAGTCCGGCGCCGTGCCGTCCTTGCACATGCCCTTGATCAGCCCCTCGGCCAGCCTGAGCTCTCCGGCCCTGCAAGCGGCGACGAGCAGCGTGTAGTAGCAGGCGTCGTTCGGCTTGAGCCCCGCCGCATTCATTTCCTCGAGCAGGCGCCCGGCCGCGTCCCAGTCGCGCGTCTGGGCGCACCCGTGCATCATGGCGGAGAAGGTGGTCTCGTCGCATGGCATGCTTTGCTTCATCTCGTCCATCAAGGTCATAGCCGCTGCAGGGACAATAGAGGCAGACCGAGGGCACAAATACAGTGAGTAGCGTTAAAAGAAGACGTGACGAGTTGAGCGGCGACCGCTGACGTGACAGTATCTCTTGTGACAAGGTGGCAGCAACCGCAAAGACGGGCGGAACGCGATGTATCTACAGCCGTGCTGAGGAATGTTGGTGAGGTGGGCGTGTTGGCGGCCGGGTCTGCGGAAACCACCAACGCGAGGAACGTGCACCACGCCACGCAGATCCAGATCCAGATCTACTAAATAATTGTAGAAGAAGGAGGGCCTGCGGACGACAAAAATCCAGCAGCCTCGCACGGCGTAGGTTGCAGAAGATGCCTTTCCCCTGGACCGAATATCAAAGCTCCATCACCATGCTTGTAAACCACTAATGATGGTGCCGAGAAATAATGGCGGCGTTGGAACTGTTGTCGTCGAGAGCGTTCCGAAAACGGAACACTGCGTCTTGGTATCCTCTTCATGATGTTGTAGTCCAGGGGGTGTGGTGTCTTACGCAGCGACCGTCTCGCCACACCGGGCTACCTACCTCGCAAGCACCATGTTTCAGGTAGCGTAGTTTGGACACTATTACCTCTTGTGTTTCCTGTTCTTGCGTGCACGCTGATGACAGAGTTCCAGCAGAAGCGGGTCGGGGTCAACCCCAGCTCCTTCATCTCCTCCAGCAACGCTCTGGCCATATCAGGGTGACGTCCCTACCTCGCAAATCAGAGAGAGCAAAGCAAAAACACACAAAACGTGGTACAGAGCAGAACAACATGAACTCTTCTGAGGACGCGGCTTGGGGGCAGGGCCAAATCTGGGCGGGAGCAATATCCGGAATACCAGCACTCCAAACGATCGCCTTATACGGCAAAGCTCGTTCCAAACAGTCCATCGGCACCGCGCAGAGTCCACCCAGCAGACCAGTCCACCGGCCAACCGATCTCCACCTTTGCACAGGCCCCAACAGCGGCCCCGTACGTGTAGGAATCCGCCGCTATCCCTTTCGCCTTCATGCTCTCAAGGAGTTCCAGCGCGCCCCCCCAGTCCCCCTCCCTCCCCACCGTCTCGATGACAAGGTTGTAGTCGGCGTCCCTCGGTTCCAGCCCTTGCTGTTCCATGTCTCTCAAGAGCATCACGGCGCTCGCGCCGTCCCCTCCCGCCCGGCACGCCAGAATCGCCGACTGGTAAGATATGGCGTCCGGCTCTAAGCCCTGCGATTTCATTCGCTTCAGCAGAGCCAAGGCGGCCTCGGGATTGGAGCCCTTCGTGCAGGCGTCCAAGGCGGCGTTGAAGGACTGGATGTCGGCCTTGAGCCCGGCCGCTTTTATCTCGCTGAAGAGCCACAGGGTCAGCGCCCAGTCCCCCGCCTTGGCGCAGGCGTTGATCACAGAGTTGAACCTAGCGTTTGGTTGGCAGAAGGAATGTTGGTGGGGAGATAGAGGTTCTATAAAGGAAAAAGCGAAAAGCAAAAAAGCAAGTTTGGGGCAAGAGGTGGACATCGTGCGGCAATGAAAGGGATGTTGGCGTGGAGAGAGACGCACACACATCGAGAGCTTAAAGGACAAACGGCAGAACCAACAAAGCCCGTTCGGAGCACGGGGCGGATCTCGTGCGCTGACTATAGGCTTGAATGCATTGTTTGCCGTGCGCTTTTTGAGTTGTGTGAGAACGGCAAACCCGACTCAAACGCGTACCGCTCAGCGGGGATCACGCAGACGAAACTACTGCTGCATATAGGATAGGAGTTGCCGGAGGCAGCGAAGGCCACACATTCAACAAAACCCAGTAGGAACAAAACCATTCGTTCGACCAACAGGCCAAAACGAAAGGTAGCAGCGGCCACCACAGAATCCAGGCGAAAGCACAAGCAGAAGCACCATCCCCGGTTACGGTCCTATGCTCACGTTACGAGGTCTGGCGTGAGTGCAGGGTCCCCGGACGTCTGCATCTGTTCCAGCAGAGCCAAGGCTCTGTCCACCTCGCCCGTCTTCGCGCACACGTCTACGCAGGCGTTGTAGTTGATGAGGTTAGGCGATAGTCCGTTGCGACGAGCTCTTTCCAGCTGTGCCTGCAAGAACACCGCCAGCGGCACCGTCCGTTTTTTTCGGGGCATTGGGAAGGAGGCTCAGCATGGCACTCGGACTCCGATAAATGTGGGGATAATTTATAGCCAAGGTCACACAAGAAAGGTTACTGCATGCTGCGGTGGGTGGGTCGCGAAATCCTCGTGTTACGCCTGCGTTGTGTGCACATGATTGCTTGCGCGGCAGCATGCTGTACTACGCGGGTGCCGCCCTCCAGGCACAAAACGCGCCGTACCCCACACAGCAAGCAATACGCACATAGAAATTGGGTTCCCATTCTGCAGCCTTGGCGTAGGTGAGCTTTGCATGGTCGCGCCTTGTATGCTATTATAGCAGTCGTTTTTGTGGTTCTCACCAGGGCTTGGTGAACGTCTCCCGACCTGCCGCAAATGCCGATGAGCTCGGTGTAGGTAACCTCGTTGGGCTTGATAGCGCGGGACTTCATCATCGACAGGATCTCTTCCGCCTTGTCCCAGTCGTCGCAAGCCCTGCAGAAAGGCGATATTTGACAACAGCAGCAACATGTTGCATGCACGGCAAACCCGTCAGCATGGAGCACCCGATCGCTCGAAAACGACACAGCAGTGGGACTGCGTGCACGGGCCATGCGTGAAAAAACAACGAAATAGAATCAGATTGCCGTACACATTATCGGCCGTCACAAGAGTCATTGCTCAGACTCAAGTAGGCAAAAAATCGTGCAGAACAGCCGGCACCAGGTACGCAGAGCGACAGAATCTGAACCAAACACGTGGGCCAAAATGGCTATGGGTCATCGTCTTCGCGCGTCGGATCAAACAGCACAACGATGTCCAGGTAGAGACTTGACGGCCGACAGCTAAGCAACTCACTTTAGGGCCGAAGAAAACGTGACGACCGTCGGGTCGACCCCTTCCGAGGACATCTGCTCCAGCAGGGACAGCACCACGTCAAACTTTCCCGCGCTAGCGCAGGCCTCGACGGCCGTGGTGAAGGTCACGATGTTCGGGGAGAGGCCTTGCGATCGGGCCTCCGCCAGGAGTTCCAGCGCCTGGGAGGGAGGGGGGGGGGGTTGCGCAAGCGGGCGATACGCACGTATTCGGATTGGTCATGTAGCCAATCATAAGTACACAAGTTGGAGCACCTGGGGAGGGGGAAGAGTATGATGGAAGCAGTTAAAGAGGGCGGTGCCTGCGCAACATGGGAAACGTCTAGAANGGGGGGGGGGGGGGGGGGGTTGCGCAAGCGGGCGATACGCACGTATTCGGATTGGTCATGTAGCCAATCATAAGTACACAAGTTGGAGCACCTGGGGAGGGGGAAGAGTATGATGGAAGCAGTTAAAGAGGGCGGTGCCTGCGCAACATGGGAAACGTCTAGAACTGAGGGTCACAATTGGCCAAGTGCAGATGCTTTGCGGTGTGGAGGTAATACGTCGGGGAACCCATATTCTCTCGACATCGTTGAATCCAAATAATTTGATTTCGTTGTCGGTTGCTTGGCCCCGCTTGTGCATGTAAAGCTGACAAATAAAAATAAAAAAACACCCGTGACGAAGGCGTTTGCAAGCATAGTTCTTGGGGTAGTAGAGCAACTTTCCACTCAGGACTACACGTAGATGTAGCGTTGGTGGGGTAGTGGTTTCATCGCTTTACCTTTTCCCACAATCCCGCCTTCGCGTAGGCGTCCATGCAAATCCCGTAGGACACCAGGTTTGCAGCAAGACCACAAGCTTGGATGCGGCTCATGACCCTGTGAGCAAGCTGCATAGATGAGGTAGGGGGCCGAAGGTTGGGAAGGGGGGGGTCGTCTTATCCAGGGCGTAGCGAAGGTACTGGACGGGGCGCATCAAAACGTCTGCAACCTCATCGTCACAACCAAGAAGAGGGTGTGTCCCGGCTGAAGCGTACCGACGCTGCATCAACAAACATGAGCGCTTTGGCTGCTTGCCCGTGCCACGGATGATGCATACATACCCCCTTCGAGACCCTCGACCAGTCGCAAGCAGCTGCCCTTGGCGGCCTCGAATCATTCCACCACCACGCCAAACCACACGCCAAAGCGCCGAACACAAACAAAAGAAATATATCGTGACCGCGTATGCTGATAGGCTTTGAAACAGACTCAACTGTGTCTTGTATCGATTAGGTGTCCCTCAATCCTCGCAGGAAATGATTCATAGCAACCCGCCAAACGGGGTATTGTATGTCTCGAACGGATAGTGTCTATCTTTATGCCATGCGTGTCTTCTCAACACCAGTGGGCGCTTTCGGTAAAAGCGTCAACCTTACAGCAGCAGGTCAGGCCTCGACATCCCCGCATGGCCTACACTCTCGAGCCCTACCTCGCACTCTCCCGCCTTCGCGCAGGCAGACATGGCGTAGTTAAAGCAGACCACGTCGGGCCCGGCGTCCTTGTCGGTGACGCTGGCCCTGGTCATGACGTCTATTAGGGCGATCGCGTTCCGCCAATCTCCGACCTGGGCTGCTGATTTCAGGACAGGGCTGTAGCTCGCTGACGTCAAGCGTGTCCCATTTGCCTTCACGAGGTTAATGTCAAGGGTCAAACACGCCGACAGCGAGATGGACAAATCGAAAGGGAAAGGGAGAGACAAGGAGGGGGATAGGTACGGGGTGTACTCATAGTCGTGCATGCCGTAGTCGTTGACCATTGACCATTGACCAATGGGGGATAGGTACGGAGAGAAATAAATCAATGGGAGAATACAGATGGCGACCACGGCTGGGAAGGGATCCAAACAAGAAGCCCGGTGAGCCCCTTCTCTCACCTCTACGATCCGCGTCGATGAAGCGTGTAGGCAATAAGCACAGTCATACAGGCTCAACCCCGCCCCGTTCACGCGCGCAATACAAATGACCAGCTGTCGGTGCTACACGACAAGACGCTACACTTCACTTCATGCCGCCGTTCCTGGCCCAACCAACCAACCTCGCACGATATTCTTGCTACTTCTAAGTGGACATTTGCCCCAGCAGCGAGCAATAGAAAACCCTTACTTTTCGATGACACGCGATCATTTCAGCCAATCTTGCAGGGGAGGAGGGGGGGGGGGGGGG